AACAGGCGTTACAGTCTTTACTGAGGTGAGGTCACTTGACGTGATCTGGTGACCTGACTTTGAGCGACTTTGGTTTGAAATTTTCACAACATGTGCAGACAAAATGCATGACAAAATGTGACAAAATGGTGGCGCTCAACTTTTTTTTTGAGATATTTGCGAGAAACCGCAGGGGGGGGAGCCTGTGGTTTCTCGCAGATATGGTACCCAAAGAGTCGCGGAAAAGTATGGAATTTTAGTAGCCATGGTTATATCACCAATGGGGTCTGGCAGGTGGGGGTAATGGCGCTGCCTGGCGTCAAAAAAGGGGGCACGACCCCGGAGGACCTGCCGACCACTGATATAGAGGAACAAAACCATTTACCGAAGTGGAAAGACGCAAGAATTCTATGGAGCGGAAAAGGGAAAAATCGACGAAAACTGATCGAAGCTGCGGTGATTGAATGTTTGCCAAACATCAACTCAAAAAGAGGAGATTACTCATTGGCACCAATTTTGGGTAGAATTTTATGGAGGGAACAAAAAGTTTTGCCACGTGAATAGGTCATAATGTTTGAAATATCAATCTCATCGCTCGCGTTCACCCACATTGAATCGTGTGTTTTCATTATCTGTATCTTGATCTGTATTGTATCAATGTATTGATAAAGAAATAATCGAAACGCGTTTACATTGAATACAGATAAGAATTTGATATTGTTTTTCATTAAAGTAAACCTTGATAAACTGCTTCGCAAACCCAGTAAGTACTTCAACTTGTGGTTGAGTTGACAAAGGTACTTGCAGAATCATAACCAAACTACTGTAACAATAAAAATCACTGCTTTCTCGCTTTTTTCCATTTCAACTCGGATCTTCATCATCTCTGGAATACCTGTTTATCACACATTTCAATCCATCTTCTGATGAAAATAAAAACTAAAATAACCAACGCTCACTCACTCGGCAAACCTCATCTCAATCTTTTAATATCTCAATCTCATCACATTTTCCACCAATTTTCTGAGTGTGTCAATATCAAAAAGGTAATCTCTTCGCAATTGTGAGTTGTCTCTTCCTGTCGAAAACAAAAATAAATAGCAAACGCACACCTGTCGGCAGCCAGCCAGCCCAAACAATAACAAAGACCGAGGATACCAATACGCAAATACATTTTGATTTAGTAGCCGGGGCATTCCATGTCAACCGGGACAGCCAAAATCGGCCACCTCTGCGATTTTGTTCAAACTTGGTATACTTGTTGGCTATTGGGTGAAACCTCTGAGGGTCAAAGGATTTTGTCATATGCCCTCGGGCTACAGAGATACAAGCCGCTAAACTTTTGCTTTTTTAGCAGAATTGGACGTGTATTGCAATCTTGAAAGATCTATAGCTTCAACATTTTTGAAGCTATTAATTTCAAACAAACTGAAACGTGTACATAAGGAGTTATGCTAGTTAAATTTGGCAATTTTAACATTTTTTGGTGATTTTGAATTTATCTTATTTTGAATTAATTTCTTAAAATCTAATTTGTGAAAAAAGGGTACCCTTCGATTTTGCTCAAATTTAGATATTGTCTTCCACTACACGTAAGGCATACGTGCTGAGAAAATTAGAGTGGGCCAACGATAACTTTGGATGATATAGCAACAAGTAGTGCAACGTAGCACGGGCGATGGAAGGGGCTGATTTCGCCAACCCCACCTGTTTTTCGCCAGTAACTCACGCCATAATTATCATATTAACGCCAAACTTTCAGCATCTGTCCAGAATTGAATTGCAAATCCTCCCGTGCAAGCAATAGGTAAATCGGTCCACAACTTTTCTAGTAATAACGGTGTAAAGTCAAACATCTTGCCGGAGCGGCGCGGCGGCCGGCGCCGGCCGTTGCCGCCTGAATGGTAGACTGTGCCGGCGCGGGACGGTTCCATCTTTGCACTGCGCTTCTTACCGCTGATTATGATCGATTCGTGTCAAATTTTGTGTGAAGGCTTAAAAATGTACAGGCAATCTAATGTTCAAATAAATACGAAAATCAACTGGTAAAAATTGAATTAGTTATTAGGGTGCAAACACAATCTTTGACTGAAACGTTTCCCGCGTCGGCCGATCCCCGTCTTTGCCGGCGACATCTTCTTACTCTTAGCAGGCCACTAACTGCCAAATTTATGGTTAGATTAACTATAGATTCTCATAACACTACAAATGTCGTATAAAGGAAGAAATAGGAAAATCGGCCGGTAACTCTTAGAGCTATGGGCGTATAAACGCAAAATAGTCACTATAGCAAATTTCATCACGATTAACCTCATTTGATCTTGAAGATATTGATCTAGGGCCATGAAATTGGCACACGATAAAGTTCCCCACCGCCCCACCTACAATTCAAATTCCGTTTTTTTTTTTTTAATACCTTTTTGGCTAAACGGGGCCTTTCTCCCCTAGCGCTGGGAGAGTCAGGCGTATTTCCTTTTTCCAACCAAAGAGAGGCGCTGCCCAGAGAATGCCCATTGCCCAATTGCATTCTCCGGGCATTTGGGTAGCATTTGCCCAGTCGGCAACTGCCGTGAGGGCTGTACATATTTACGCGTGTTAGATTAGGTCAGGTCACGTCAGGTCAGGCTAGGTTTGCCTTGGTTTTGGGTAGAAAGAAGCATCTCCGGGTAGCGCCTCTCCTTGGTTGCTAAAACGAAACACGCGAGTGCCAGACATTACGAAGTCCAAAAGACAGTTACGTAGACGTCGGCCCATTCTGGATTTTTTATATGATGTAGCTAATATATGGGAGAATAAAATATGTAAAAATCAGCAAAATCGAAGGGTACCCATTTTTCAGAAAATCAAAATTTATTTTTTGAATTTTAATTTAGTTCATTAATTAGCTTATTACGTCAATATTGTCATCCTCAAATTAAAGCCTGATGTATTCCCTCCATTTCACACTTTGTTTCATGGTGATATGTCTAAAACTTCAATGGTTATGACGCTTGAAAGATGATAATGTGCCTTGCCTAAGTCAATGTTTGATGACGTGTATCTCTGAAACGTGACGTCATATCTTTACAAAAACATGTCTCCTTTCTTTTCACATATAGATGAGTAGTTTCACAAAGTTTCGCAAAAATCGGAGGGGGTGAGGTTCAAAATGGTCATTTTTTGTCTCACTTGACGTGGAATGCCCCAGCCTTGCGATAATTCAGTTTGTATATAGCGCGCAACCACTGTCTCATAATTGTCCCTACCAGCCGCTAGACGCACTCGTCAACAGTTATTTCTGTCAATGTATGACATGCTTTATGGCAGATAAAAAAAATGATCGGCTCGAGGGTAAAATTGTGTCGTGATGCGACGTTTTTCCATAATAATACCCGAAATACCCAAAGAGTCACGGAAAGGTAGGACATTTCAGTGAGCTCGGTTGTGTATGCAATGGTGTCTGGTAGGGTGGGGGTAATGGCCCTGCCTCGCGCCCGAAAAGGGGGCACGACCCCGGAGGGCCTGCCGACCACTGCTCTGGTCGGAAAATATCCCGAATGCTGGAATATTGCATAAAGGCCTGGCTGCACTATGCGTTTTCTGCGTGCGTTTTTTGCGGGTCTGCGTGTTTTACGTATTACGTAATGTAGTTCTAGAAAAAGCGATATTACGTTTTTGTGATGTTTTTTATATAAAATTTTAATTAATACGTGCATTTTGCGCATTTTTGCGGTGTTAGCGTTTGGCGGAAGTCGACCTTTTTTATCTTTTATTTTTGATAATTTAATGTCCCAACTTTTGGATCTGTAGTGCTCCTCGAAAAGTCAACATACCTACTATCAGTTGAATGAAGCAAGTAACAACCAGACTCAGTGCTACTTATATACAGGGTGTCCGGAAAGTTCTGGCGCTTCTTTTGGACGCCGTCTAACGCGCGCTGTGATTATTGGACATTCAGTCAATCACCACAGATATGACCCCTCGTTGACCGCTCAGCTAGGGGTCGTATAAATATGACCTTGAAATCGTTTTCAGTGATGGGTAGAAGGGCGAAGATGCGCCTTGTCGGCTCGCTGAATGCCTGTGCGCGGCGGCCGGGTGCGACTTGAACGAGGCGCGAGTTGCAGCGCGATGCGGCGTTTTTCGATGAATGGTAAAGGTTTAACCTTTAATAACAAAGGTTTAATTAATAAAGGTTTTAATGCGGCGTTTTATTTTAATAAATAAAGGTTTAATAAACCTTTACCGCGATGCAGGTAAAGGTTTATGCCGACTCGGGAATTTCTTAGAAAATATCCTCAGGCCGGTACGACCGCGGTATGTCAAAACTGCCAAGAACGGAGCAGCATTTCAGCGCGGCAATCGAAGAAAGTGCGGGGGTTTGATGGACAAAAATGTCCCTGCATCATCTTCGTCAATGTCGAATAAATGACTAACAGGCTGGTCCACGAGGGGTTCCTGGACAACCACATCAACCCGAGGGTCAAGACGACTTGCCCTAAGGGTTACTTCGCATTTCAACAGCATAGAGCGCCCTCCAACAACGCCGCTGCCGTTCAAGCTAAACTGACAGAGGAGCTTGCCGGGCCAGATCACCGTGGCGAAATGAGATTTCTCACCCCAACCTGGAGTCGCCAAAGAATCGCATCATGACAGCATGGAAGGACCTGGAAATGCCCCACATCGTCAAAACCAGCAGGCGCTTCCTCCCCTACGTCGAGGCCGTCGTCGGCGCCGACGGTGGCTACATTGAATGAGCACGTAGCGGAAGCATGTGGCTTGGTGTCCCTGGTCATTGTTTTGATCCATTGATGATTATCTATGAACCAATGGCATTCGTTTTAGAAAATGTTAAAAAGCGCCAGAACTTTCCGGACACCCTGTAAACAAACCAAACTAATAATCCCTTACATATATTTCGAATCTATACAGTTATCGGGCAAAGCTGGCCATCTGGTAATAATAATGAATAAAACTAATGGGAGATTGAGAGTGATTTTTATAAGTATCGCAGCGTATCTCAGGGCTAGCTGATAACTCACCGTTACCGGCGCCGCGGCCGGACGCTGTGGTGGCCCCTAGCCGTGCGCGTAGCGCTGGGGCTCCGTGCCGCCGCCGCGCCGCGCGCGGTACCAGGGGGCTCCTGGGAGAGGCGCCACCCAGTCCCCACCCAGCACGACACCTGCACAGCGACTGGTCGCACAGTGCGCCTAGCTCCGCCCCGCCACCGGCGCCCGACAGGCCATTGGTGGTCGGCCCGTGACGTCACAGAGAGGCGCGACTCCGGCAGCGGCGCAGTGGCTGCCTCAGGGGCTGCTGTCAACCTATGCTTACATTGCCAGCTGGGGCATTCCACGATAGATCGTACCACTTTTTTCGAATTTGACACCCTCATCTCTCGGATTTTAACGATAATTGGTCTAAGGGGTAATCAGGGGCTCTGAATCCTCCTGTAACAATTTCAAGCTTATCAGATGAGTGGTTTTTGAGTTATAGTGTATAGCATGTTTTGGATCTTGCGTTGCAGCCCCAAATTTGGCGGGCTGTAACTCTAAGACGGATAATCCAAATGCCAAATGCTATACTGCATTGAACTTGCATTGAAACAAAGAATAATATGCATTTTAAAAACTTTGAAATATATACTATTTTTGATATATAACACCTCGAGTTTTCTTTCATTTGCATTTTTATGCCTTTGGGACCAAATTTTTTTGAATTTTTATTTACTTAAAAACATTTTTGGATCATTTTTAAGTAGTATGCAAAATATTAGGAAAGTGTTCTTTCTATAAATGCACTTATTTTGCGTCACCGTAATGGTCTCGAATAGTGATTTCGGAAAAGAGCCTACAAATGGTGTGGTGAAGCTGCCTAGTAACATCACTATTCACTGGTTACTGAAAGTTCAGTTGAAGTCATTTTCGCCTCACTTTTGCATTGTTGATCTTTCGTGACGTCATTCGTACGTCACTAGGGTCATAAGAGTTTTTCGTCAATAACTCTCGATCAAATTGAGCTAGAGAGACGGGAAAGCTACCAATGGACTCGGAAAGACATTGCGAATCGAATGATGTGCACATGGGCGTAACTTCGTATGTGGTTGGTATGGAGAGCTCCACACCAACTTTCAAGTTGGTGTGGATTTTCCACACCAACTTCAAGTGGTAAGACTTCTCATGCACTTTAAGAGTAAAAAAAAAACAGCAATACATATATGATTAAAGGCCAGAAGAAATCAGTATGGGTTCTTCATAATAGTCCAAAAAGGCGGATAATGGGGGGGGGGTTGGGCATGCACCAGCAGGCGCGGATACAAGGGGGGGGGGGGCCATGGGGGCCATGGCCCCCCCCCCCTTGGCCGATTTTTTTTCAAAAATAAAATAAAAAGTTAAAAAGTTAAAAAGCTGAAAAGGGGGCCTCCTGAAAATAAAGTGGCCGAAATCCGATGAGTTTTTTTTTAACCTACCCACTTAGTTATTTCTTAGAAGACTAGCTGAGAAGACTTCTTTGTTAGAAGATTGGTAAAGCTTTTCATAACTTGGAGGTCTCTTATACTCACAGAGATGACCACTTTTACAGGGCCTCCTAACCTGCACAGAGGGCCTCCAAGCCTGCACAGATGTTGAGATGTTGCCTGAACAGCTAGATAAGCTCAATAGACGCAGTTTTTTTTTGGGGGGGGGGCAACAAGTGGGAAGATGGGGCCTCCAACAGGTGGGATTATGGGGGGGGCCTCCTGGTTTCTAATGGCCCCTCCCTTGGAGATTTTCTGGATCCGCCCCTGTGCTCCAGCATCCCCTGAGCCAAAAAATGCACCCCCGGCAGAAGCACCCCAAAATCTGCAAGTCTACACAGAAATATTTCACATTCTAAGTTTAAGAAAAATATCCAAAGAGTATGTCATTTTTAATTAGCAGTTAGCAATAACTGTATGAAGCATTTAATGGAAGCATGCACCCACTAGATATCACAGACCACAGTTACAACAATATGCATGACGAAAATGATTATTATTGCTCAGGCCTTTATCATTATCTAACTGCCCTGGTTTTTATTTGTAAAAGAATTATGCCTCAAGATGCTGGTTTTTTAACCGCTCTGTTGTCAACCCCAGCTTGAAAAACAGCAGTATTCGACGAGATGTGGGGAATGAGTTGGCAATTTTTGAGCAAATCTCACAGTCAGCAGGGCACAATCAAGATACCGGCACAGTTGCCTTCTCCATGTGCTTTGGCTCTAGCGTCTACGACAATTAAAAAAAAAAGAATGATGTATTGTTGACTTAAAGGCTGTAGCACATGTGCGTAAGTGGCCTGCGCCATAATCGTTGCAATAGCGCAGTGATACCTAATTTGTTGTTCCCGCCATATGAAAGTTTTTCCTTCATCAGGAAAAGACAATTTTCATGCATTTGGCATTTTGTATTTTGTATTTTTTTTTTGTGTGTAGAAGCTGGCAGTGGCTTCATTTTGACTTTATTTACTTGCCGTTTTGTGATATATTACATTTAGAGAGTGAATAATTTTTATTTAGAAGATATTGGTGTCTAAACCAAGATTCTTGTCTAACCATTGCAGAAACGTGCATGCTCGTCAATTTAGCAGTCGATTGATATTCGCGAATCTGCTGCTGGTAGACACAAGACCAGCATTCACGGTTTCCGAATGTGCCGCTTTTGGCATGAAATAAAAGTTAGCCTATTCTAAGCCCAGTAATTAATGGTAGCGCTTATGGTCGGCAGTCGTGACGCGCACGTGACATTCATTTCTTAAATTTCTTAAATAACGGGTTTTAGGGGCCAATTAGTGGGCAGATACATTCAATTAGCTATTAACCCGCGCACCGACGGGGGTCTGCGCTAGAGGTCTGCACCGGCCGGCTGCAGCCGCGGCTGGCTGCAGCCCCACGGCTGTGGACCGGGGCGGCTGCAAATATCTCCAAGAACACGGCTACGGCTGTGGCCACGGCTGTGGGATTTCAAGCTCAATCTTAAGTACTCAAATATAAAATTTTAAATCCTTTATCTTACATTCTGATAAGCAGTCTAGCATGTAAAAATCATGCAAAGGATGCCCAGCAACATTGAAAGTGTTGAAGCCTTTGAAAACCTGTAATGGTTTTACCATTGCTGTAGGGGAGTTTGCACTCTGGTACAGAATACTAATTATAGGTACTAATTGTTCCTTCATCATCAAGAGCTTGACAGTTTCAGAAGATGCAACATGTTGCATTGTCACATCCCTCTCAAATTAATCTCACCTGGTCATTAGGAGAGCACCTGACAGCTATTGAAGACGAGCATTCAATAATTTTTTTAGGTAATAGAACAAGAAATCACGCCTACACGGAGAAAAATAATTACTCCCCCCGGGAATCACGATCCCCTATTTGGGAATCAACTGACACCCATGGTGTAATCCGATTCTGAAAAACAGTGTCCATACACCGTTTTTTAGTGTAAATTGATCTCGGTCAGAATCACATACCCAAGGGTCATTTGACTCCCAAAATTTTGACTCCCATTTTAGGTGTCGTGTCAAAAGATCCTGCACGGTGTCAGTGTAAAATGACACATCTAGGCGTTTTTGACGCCATCATGAGGAGTTTTTATATCCTATAGGTGTCATTTCACACAGTTGAGCGTTTTCGCAATCCGTGACTCCCTTATAAGGTGTAATTTGATCCTCAGTGGTGTCATAATATTCCGTTCAAATGACTTATTGAGTGTATTTTGACCCTCGGTAGTGTCATAATATTCCGGTGTCATTTGAGCCCCATTGGGTTCAAATGACACCGGAATATTATGGCACCACTGAGGGTCAAATTACACCTAATAAGCGAGTCACGGATTACGAAAACGCTCAACTGAGTGAAATGACACCCATAGGCTTCAAAAACTCCACATGATATCATCAAAACACTACATTATTACAGAAGTTGTTTTGACGTCACTGGTGGTAGGAACCAACACTGCAGAATCAAGAGATTTTCGGTGAATCAGACTCCGAATCCAGCTCCGGCTTCCAATATCGACTCCGACTCCGACTACGGCCAGAACAGTCGTTTCCAACCGACTCCGACTACGGCCAGAACTGTCGACTCCAACGGACTCCGACTCTGACTCCGTAACCCTGGTGTAGGTTCAGTGATTTGAGTCGATGCCCCGAGTGACGTCATGTGTGTGCTGCTGGTCCGCCACGAAGATGAAATAGGCCAATCAGCAGGCTGCATTGTCTTGTGACGTCATTTGTGCTAGTCGGTCCACCACGAAGACGAAATAGTGCGACCTTGAGGAAAACCGTTAGAAAGCCGTTGGACTTCAGTTGCGCGCGCGGTGAGCCACGTGGTGTGTGCGGTGTGAGTGAGGACAGAAATTATTTGAGTTTACGTCCTTGTAATGTCGCAAAACGTTGTTTGAAGTGTAGTTTTGTTTCAAGTGATAGTGCATTAACGATAAAGTTCAGTTTTTATTTGTAACTTGCTCTGTACGTATTCAAATAAGGAGGCGCCCTGCACTCGGTGAAATTATGAAGTGAGGATAGTAAGATTGCAATGCACTATGGAAACGGAGGTAAGTTTTTATGTCATTAAGCTGCAGAATAACTCTACCTAAAGTAAGTAGTTATAATCACCGGTTGATGGAACATTGTTGAAATGTGAGTAATTCCTTACGGTGAATGGAGTCACTGACCCATGCGCCTTACGATAAGTTTTCATTAGATTTCGCCATACATTTCGTGCCCAAATGTTTTGGAATTTATTGTTGCATATAAAATAAAGAATGACATGCATGTATTGTTAATTTGCGTCACGTGGTTAACAACTGCAATTATGACTCTGTTGGAGAGTGTATTTTGATCCCATAAGGTGTATGATTCCGAGAATCATTTGACAATATCTGGTATAAAGACTGAACAGAAGACGTCATCGTCAATAGATAAAATTGTAGCTGCAAGGGTGAAGACACATGTAAGCTACAGTTAAAGTCTCGTTGCAGTCTGGCTAATCGTTCCTATAAGCTTCAGAAGCAGAACATACCCATGGGTATGTTGGTTAGTTGTACCATACTATTGGTCTCAAGATAAGGGCCCAGGCGACCTGTTTTTCAGATGCGATGAATACATATACCGTTTATACCCTCGCCGCAGCTCGGTTCGAGTGCATCCCTCACCCCTGCACACAACCCAATCCCC